ATAAATACTATTAATATTATTTTAAATGTGAAAACCAGAAGTGATCTCTGCCTCTCCCTAGGAGAGACTTCTCTTCCTTTTTTTTTCTTTAGTAGATATTAATATAGCAGATACAATAATTGAGATAAAAGAACCCCTATTTCTACTCCAACTATCTCACAGCCTCCACACATTTTTCCAGGAAATGTGCTTAGCAATCAGGACACTATATAGAGAGAAGTCTAAAAAACCCCTGTATTATTAAAATCAGGCACTTTTGAAAACTTTTAAGTTAAGAGATCCATTTAAATTCTAAGCATATCTTACTGAGAGTTCCAATAGACATATAGTGTAGTAACACACATAGATATATAACACAATGTACTGCTTTCTAATGACAGAAAAGTATTTACCAAGTGACTGAATGCCTTTTTTAACAAGGAAATTGTTAATTAAATTCTCAACATCAAATTTCAAGATTTTTCCCAACTGTAGACTGAGATTCCAAGAGCCATCCTACGGAATAAACAAAGATAAGTATAAGCCAAAGATCCAGGATATTGAAAATGTACTTGGCAAGAACAAAATAGGCATAGGATAATGACTTTAAATATTTTTTAAAAAGCTCTCACAAACTCAAAAACTGAAATCCACATAATCAATATAGGTGATTCAAATATTAAACTTCAAAAATCCTTTATATACTATCAAATATCTGTAATTGACCCACAATGTTGTAGTTGGCCTACCAGATAAAAAAAACCCTTAAACATAAGAACAGTGTCATTTTAAAATCACTGTAATATAAAATATACACTCTGACAACAGTAGCCTTTGCAAATCTATTTCAAACAAGTTCCTTCTGAAAATTAGTTTTAAAGGTGCTAAGAAATAAGCATTGTCCTTACTCAAAAGAAACAATAAAGGATTCCTCTCCTCTGCTGAAAATGCAAAGTCTCTATACAATTATTAAGTTTAATATATATGTCGTTAAAAGCAAAATTAACAAAACCAATCCTATTTTATCTGACTTTCCCTTATTGTTTTAATTAGACAACTCATGACTAAAATTATCTGCCCAATGGTCCAATTTGCCAATGACCCTCAGGTCAGATGGAAGACAAGCTTTCAACAGGATGTTTAAGTACTTATCTTCAATATTTAAATATACTTTTGAAGCTTTACCCATCCTTGCAGCTTTTATATCTTAGAAAACTGTAACCATGGGCATGAATTTATAACTATTTGTTGTAATTTAGAAGATAATATATGATTTAAAGGGGAAGTTTAGATAGTAATTATCCAAATTATGTGAAAAAAGTGAATATTAAGTTCAATTAGCATAAAAAAAACCTGAGAAACTTTTAGTTTTAAAATTCAACAAGTGGCAATTCTGCTGAAAAATAAAATATCTTGAACAGCACTTTGAGAGTGAATTCCCACAGAAGTAAATCACAATCATAAATCACACACAAAATGATGCAAGAATAATAGAGTAATGAGGGTGCAAATACTAGGTGGACTCTGCTGCACAAAGGAACATGAAGCTGGGACATCTGGAAGACTTACTGAGTCTAGTGTATAGGATGTACTCCCAGGGAAGGGGAATTCAACATCTCACCATGCTGAATGGCCACTTTGTCAATTAATGAGAGGACTCTCCACTGGGGACATTCCACAGTGGCTTCTTTATTTGGATCATGTAATACTCTTGAAAAAACCTCCATCAGTTTACCACTTAGAGATATTGACTGTGACACTCACAATCTGATTGTTGATCATGACCTCACTCCTTAAGTTGGTAAGCTCACCAAACCATGGGACAGGGACTTTTCCCACCACACAGAAGATACCAAAAACAACAAAAGTAAACATTTTCCTGCAGGATTCTTGGACATTACAGTTTCCTTCAGTTTCCCTACCAATTGGTCTGACACTCCAGTGGAAGTTCCTGCTGCAACATCTCTCAGTCCAATCCTCTAAAACCCAACAACTTTTTATTTTCTTGCATAATGTGCATTATTTGCATCCACTTCTTCCACTTAGCTTCCCCTGTATGTTTTTATACTTCTCCCAGTAAGTCCCCAAGCTGCAAACTGATGGAGGCTGTAAAAAAAGGTTCTGGAGATGTATTACTACCTGTTGGTCTTGATTTTATACCCATTTTATATTATATTTATATTATATTTTTTATACCCATTGCTGAGTTGCCCATGAAATTAATAAAAACACAGTAAGACTGATGTCATCATACACTTGTAAAACCTGTTTATAAACATTTTAGAAAAGTACTTTTTCTCAGGACAGAATTTAAGTAAAAAAAATTTTTTCCTTCTATTTATATTGTCTTTTTAGTAATACACAAATAGCCTCTGGGTACTGTACCTGATTTTGGAGTGCAAAAATTTCTTTCCAGTTTACCGAAGTCAACTCACGTCCCTGTTGAATCCTTTCTTTATCTGGTGTTATAAAGTACCTTGATTGTTCCTGGAGAGGATAATGTTAATTAAGAATCTTGCCACCATTACCTATGCAGCTACGACATCATGACACAAAGTAATTGCATTTAAAAGTTTATAAATAATTCCTCTTGTTTTTTTTAAAAAAACACCTCTTTCTGGTTGAAAAAGGTTCTTCCTCTCCCACTTAGGAAAGCATTTGCACAAACATCAGTCACAGCTGGAGAAAGTTCCTGTTTAGCAAAATTGCAAGGAATTAAATAATTCCAGAGTTAGTGAGACATTTTTTCTCTTTTTAATCAAAGCTGTATGTCTTCTGGTATTATGCACATCATCATTATACTGTCATTTGTATGTTAAAAATTAAAATTAAAACGTATTGTTCAAAATTAAAATTTCTTACCCTGTTCTGCCTTATACTGAGCAAATATAGAGTAAACTTACTCTGGAGATCTTATCACCATTTGTTGGGTCTGATTTTATACTGTTTCTTAAGCATGATGGATTGCCCATGAAAGGAACAAAAATAGCATGACTTTGATGTCATCATTCTCTTTATAAAATCAGTTTAAAAGCAAAAAACCCCAAAATAATTTATACAATGTTTGTCTCCAAAGATAATTTCTCATTCTGCTTAGATTTTACTTTTATCAATGCATGAATAGTGGATGGGTACTGCACCTGATTTTGGAGCTCAGGAATTTTATTCCTATTTACTGAACTACATAGACGACGACGCTGAATCATCCGACTTGGCATAGAATGGCAAAACTGTCCCTGAACAAACAGAATAATGCTCATTAAGAATCTCATGCTACCACAAAGACTCATATAGCTACTATTTCATGGTACAAAGTAATTCCATTTAAAAGTTGCCTATTAAAGTAGTAAGGAATAAGAGGCAGAATTCAGAGTGTCAGATTTATCACTTTGAAAAAGGTAACTGAAACCCAAACAAATAAAAATAATGCTTTCTGCGTTGCAGGTTCAGATTTCTTGAATTGGAAAGCAGCCTCATTACCACTCCTACCCTGTTCTTTTCAGGCTGTGCACCCCCAAACTTTGAAACACAAATCTTTAAGGTAGCTTTCATCAGCTGAAAGCAGCTTGGATTTCAGCATGACATTTGTAGCATCCTACAGATAAAATACTTTTGATGGAAGACTCACCCCAGCACTAAAGTCCCCTGTAAATCCTTCATCAGGAGTTGTATCATTACAGTTTGGTACTGCCTTTTTCTTTGATAGTCGCATTACTGCTGCTGCTGATCTACCAAAACCACTGAATTCAGGAGTGACTTGGTTTTCAACATTAGTCTTTTCAGAATTTGTGCATGTGGGGGCAGGTGAACCAAACAATGCTGAACCTGCCGTTGGAGGAGGAACACAAGGAGAAAAAAGTGGTTTTGTGCCTCCCACCAATTCTAGAAAAGAAGAGCAAAGGGGAGGAGCAGGAGGAGGAGCAGGTTTAGGAGCATCCATGAAAACACCAGATTTTCTAAGTGCAGATGCCTGAAGTGAATTGTCTTGAGTCAGAGCGGTTTCTTTTTTGAGCGGTTCCTGACAAGGGAGATTCAGCAGCTTCCATCAGACGAAGGCCATGTGGTGAAGGAGACCTTGTTCCAGATGTCTCTGTTGTGGTATCTCCATCCAAACTGGAATCTGATTTGAGACTGTCAACATTACTTTCAAGATCAGAAACACTGGCAAAGCTCAGTGTCCTGCTTTTTGGTGAGATGCCCCCTTGACTAACAGGAACACCTGAAGATTGAAATTGGAAGCCTGCAGGTTCACCTTGCAAATCAGCTGAACAATAATGTTGTACAGATGAGGAACATGCCTGTTCAGTAAAATTACAAGGAAACAAAATAATTCCAGAATTAGTAATCAAAACAGTACTTCTTATGTAGTGTGGAGTATCATTATACTGTAATGCATATGTTCAAAATGAAAGTAATATATCAGTTAAACTAAACATTTCTTACCCTATTCAACCTTATACCAGGCAAATTCAGAGGAATTGTGATAAAATATGAGAAGTATTTTACATTATTAAGATACAAATTATTAATCTAATTATGATTATGAGGCAAGGAAGTTCTGCTGTATAATACTGTTGTACATACACAGAAGGATCTACACAAAATGAAGTGTGGATTCTGCTTCTGCTGCAGTTCTGGCACATGTACCAGCTGAGACCCAGTAGCTGCTGCATTCAAACTAGTGACCCTGGGCTATACTGCCACCACCCACCAACATGTATGTTTGGTACTCTTCTGCCTAGGAATACTTGGGCCAAAGGATCAGGAAAATGGCTTTGCATGAGTTGACCTAAGTTACACAACACACACCCAGTTATAATTCTAAATATCTCACAATCTTAATATGTTACAGACTACAGGCTGAGATGATGCTCCTGAGTTGTATTAAATGCTATCATGGTCATGCATGACATAATTTAATGGACAAATAATTATTTTCTTGTGTCCCCTACACAATTTGGAGATGTAAAGCTTTAATCAGTTAAGACTTCACAGACTGACAGAATTATACCTGCTGGCTAACTGATGCAGGCATCTCTTGTAGTTTCCAAAGTCAAGAGAGAGCTACCATAACCAGCAAACATCCAATTTCACTTGTTCAGGTTTCTCTTATTGCTCCCTCCTCATTCCAGAGATTGTCCCATTGCATGCCCACAATATGACCAGTCATGCTTATCCCCATTCCCCATAGTCTCTCTGCTTTGCCTGTACCTCTCTGCTAGTGGAGTCTTTCTTACGGATAAATACCTTGATTTTCCTTGAAACTCCCCTCCTCCCCCTCTCAGTTTCTCAGAGCTGAATTTAAAGCTCTATCTGCACTAGGATATTCTTAGGAGAGAACACTCTAACAGGTGTTTGATTCTTCTGGAAGGGAGAAGAAGGCTGTAGTACCATGTTGTCTCTCAAAACTTCTGCTGCACTCATGATATTTTTGGGTCAGGTTCCTCCAATGTTACCACAATTGGCTAGTATACTGAGCAAGTTAGCAATAAGAACATAGGTTAGTTACCGGGGGATAGCTAACTCCTCCAGCAAATATGAAGCCATAATCCATTGCCTTTCCATCCCAGTCCATATAAGGTAAAAAATCTACATCTTCTTGAGCTATAATTTCCAGGATGTTCGGAGCATCAGCAGCAGAAGTTTCAGCAGCATCCTAAATAAAAATGCATCACAGTTACAAACCTGAAAATGGCCTTCCAACCCAAACCATTACATGATTCCGTAATTCTAGAGACAGTGCATTTTTCTTTGTGAGTTTGAAATGTGTTGAAAACAGGGGATAAACAGATAATGCAGCACATTAAAAATACACAGTATATACAAAAAACCCAGTAAATGTAATTTCACATTTTTTACTATATTGAGGGACAATGTGTTGTCACTAAATAAAATCACATGAAATATAAAGGTAGACAGTATATATTTGTATGTATAAGTAAGTTGTTCAAATCCCCATAATCAAAACAAAATCCAAATCTTAGGCAGTTGTTTGTTTTTTTTTGTCAGAAACCTATTGCCATCCTTTAAAGGAAAGCAAACATAAGCAGGAGAACTGTGACTCCCCCATAGGAGGCTGAGTTAGAGAGGCTGCAAAATCGGCCAGAGATATTCCATTCCGTATATCTACATAAGCTCAGAGGAAGGTCAGAGATCACAGAAGACAACTTCCTTCCTGCTTCTTCTTCCCTTCTCTTCTGTCCATGGTGGGTGTCCAGGGAGGACGCCGTCCATCCATCACCATTGACCCCCAGGCTCAAGCTCTCCTGACCCTCATCACTTTGTGCTCTCTCTGGCAGCTCCGGGACTTGTTGGGGCTGTTGGCAGCTCAGGAGATGCAGGGGGTGGGGAGAGGCAGTAGGGGTTTTGTACATTTCCTGAACATATTTGTATATAATTGTACATATTTTCTTTAATCATTAGTGTTTAATTAAAGCTTTTTTTCTCTCTCTCTCCTTCTCTAGCTGGGTGGGAGGAGGAAGGGATCGAGAGTGTTGTTGTCAAACCCAAGTCAAACCATGACAATCATTGACAACTTGCTGAAGATACAACTCTGTCTCATCATCCAGAACACTAATGAATATTTTGAGCAGGAAAGGCTTCACTGTTGGCCCCTGGGTACATTGGTACTGGTTTTCACTGGTTTTCAACTGGACTTTCTGCCATTGATCTCGGTGACCATGTGGGCCTGGCCATTCAGCCAGTTTTTCAATCCACCTCACTGTCTGCTCATCCAGCCCATAACTTCATCAGCTTCTGTATGAGCATCCTATGGGAGACAGTGTCAAACACCTTACTGAAGTCAAGAGAGACATTATTCACTGCTTTCCCCTTGTCTACTGAATCAGTCATTACATTTTCCTAATGATATCTCTGCATGCTCAGATAGCTGTCATTGTTCATGTACTTCCTTTTTATGTTTGAGTTTTTCCAGAAGTTTTTTGTTTGTCCATGTTTATGCCAGGCCTCCTGGCATTTTTGCCTGAGTTCTGTTCACTGGGATAGACTGTTCTTGAGCTTGGAGGAATTGATCCTTGAATCTGAAACAGTGACTACAGGTAACACCTATAATCAGTGCTGAGAAAAAGACTCTGATAAAATTATTCTGAACAGGTTTAGGTATTTAACTTCAGGATAAGATGAATCAAGTTCTAGAAATATACCTATTTATTTCTATTCACCATGAGAGGAAGGCAAACATGACTTACTGCTAAATGTACATGTGTTTGGTCAGATTAATTCCCATTCTCTGTGCCCCACCTAATACTTAATCCAATTGATATAATCTTGCTTATCATGATACAACCTTCCATTTGAAAACTCTTCTTACTGACCCTTGAATTTCAAGGCTGTAATTTATAAGCATTTCTTTCCATTTGCTGCAAAGCTTTTGTTTCTCCTACCACTGTTCTAATACTGAAAACAAATGAAAACATTCCATAGTGTGCTGCAATATTAAAGAGAGATTTTTCAAGTTTTACTTTCCTCATGTCTTCCACCTGACATAGACTCCCTTAGCATGACTTTTGCTAATACAAAATCCATCATTTCAGCAGTCCATGGCTAGAGTGGCCAGTTTGCTATAGTTTGGCATCCTTACATTTTATGACAAAGGGTTCTGTGGCTTATGCACCAAGGATTCAAGAGTACTCTTCAGCTGGCATTGTCCTTTGACTTATCTGGCTCCCAAAGCACTATCAGGAATTACAAACCCTTGTCGGAAATCACAACAGGAACACACAGACTGACAAACTTTGATTGTAAAGACAAGCAATGTAAGAGATAGAAAAGGAAATACCTTGCTATACTACAGAAGAAACCAAAATAATGGAAGAAACCATAGTTTTAGCTCTACTGTAAAAGAATAATAATTTTGTTAAGCAAAAGGAAGACTGGTTTTGGTATGCACAAGGTTACAGAATTTAGAATCTTTTGACAGACAAGCTAGTGGGAACAAGATATATAGAAAACATACCCTTTTCTCAACTGCAATGAAGCTTGTAAACTGGCTTATAATTGAGTTCTCCAAGCTGAGATGAATAATCATGTTTCTCAAGGTTTGTTTCTTCATCTACATTGTTAAATATTAACAAATGGAACAGGGAGAAAAAATATGATCAGCTGAAAGAAATATTGATGTCAAAACTGAAAACATATCTATAAACACAGGCACTCTAAATTGGGACATGCAAAAGGAAGAGCTCACGTGAATACACTAGCCTGCCTGTCTGCTCCCTTCTATCTTTTTCTACTCACTCAGCTTTGGGAAGGGACATGAATCTCCTCTAGTTAGACTTTTTTCGTTTCTATCCTCCTTCTAGTGTAAGAAGCAGCTGTATTTTTTAAGAAGAATTAGTCTAAAGTCTCAAATAAGCCAAGATAGCAATATGTTTTTTTACGAGCTAAAAGTAATTTTTTAACAGATCAACAGATCATAAAGTCTGTCTCTAAAACACAGGTCATTATCTTCCACTGTATCCTGTACAAATGCTGTGAACTTTAGCTGGACTACTATGTGTTAATCCTCACAAAACTAAAATTGTACATGTTACAGGAAAAGAAGAAACACCAGTGGCCTACAATGACTGGGTATAGATTAGGAAAAATATGCACCTAGTATGCCAGTAAAGGACATTCTTATCATGAAGGAGAAAAGACTTCCAATTTTTTTCAAAATCTTGTCTGGGAAGATATTACTATATTGTGAATTTACTGTTAAAATTATATTAGGATTGCAACCCTCTAGTTACGTTTAAGAAAGCAAGAATGTTTTTCTGTTCTATTGAAGTTTGCTATTAAGCAGTTTAAATATATACTTTTAATTTCAGATTATCACACCTCATGTTCTGTTTCATTCTCGTGGAGAATCCCATCTTCATAGTCATTAATGAAAGCTCTTGCTGCAAGTTTGTGCAGCACCTAGACAGAAAACAAAACTGATTATAAAAATAGTAGTACCTTTTGAAAAAAAATAATAATTTCCTCTTCTCATTTATGAGGTACAGCTTCAAAAAATAAGCTTCCATGTTTACACAGAATCCCATTCTCTAAGGAAGGGTCAAGCTAAGTTTTAATTTTAAGAGCAATCACAACCTGCACCTAATGTACTTTTTTATTTCACTTAATTAATTAAAAAATACCCAGGCTCACTTGTTGTGCCCATCCCTTAGAGTCAAGGGAGACAGAAAAAAAGGCAGGCATGCAAGCAAAAAGAAAAACTCCACCAGGCAATTAATCTCCATTTGAAACAGCCAACTAAAACAGGTAAAATGCCCCTTCTGTATGTACACATTTTTTTCCAGCGACTGTAAACAGAGCCTGTACACCTATGTCAGATTTAAAGAACAGTATCTATATATGAAATTTGGTAAATTAATCCTGTCCATAAAAATGCAGAATTTGGGGGAAAATTAAAGCAAGTCTAGAGTGTTCAACTTAAAAAAAACCAGTACATCTAGTATAATCAACCAATTCTTGACCTGAGGGGTTGTATGCAGAAAAAGGGAATATAGAACTAAACTAGAGAAAATAAAAACAATTTTGGTGTCTTCAATATATTAAAGTTAACAAAAAGAGGAACCTTTGTGGGGAAAATGGTCAAGTCCAGCTGTATTGCAGTTCCAATTGCCAAAATATTCCCACTGACTCATTTTTTGAAGAATATGATAGATTGCAAAGAGCCATTTCTGAAGAAAATCCCTTAAGCAAATAATTACTTTTTCAGCTGAGGTAAACCAGCAAAAGAAACAGGTTGGAATTCTCAGAGTTCACCTAAAGCATCTATAAATAATAATTTGTTTCAAATTTTGGCCCTGTTTTTTATAATTCTGCCATTTCAGTTTACACCTTTAAAAACTTTTTTATAACTTCATATGGAATTTGTAGTACAGGTATTTTTATATAAGTAAAAATTCATTATGGCAAGCAAATTGCATCTGCTTGCCAGTTTTATTTGCCTGGAGAAGGACATGTTCCTGGAAGCTAATTGTCCTTATGGAAATCAATACAACCAATGTATTCATGAACACCAACACACAGTAGTAGCTTTCAAAGTAGATTACACTAAGCAGGGAACAAATTGAAAACAAATCAGCTTCCCTTAGTGGGGAAGGGGTAACAGTCATATGAGAATTCTTACTGAAAGTTGGCTTTCCTTTTGATTATTTAAGTGTAGACATCTGTTAGATTTAATAAATGGTTCTTTTTAGCTTGTTTTCCTTTTCAAGATGGGTGCTATGCTTTCCTCTACATGAAGACTCCTCACTTCATTATTAATGAAGCAGAGGAAAGGCCAGTAACACTTCACTGTCTCTTCTCTATGTTTCTAGAGATGACAGACTGGTGATTAGATGTTCCACACAGGAACAATTTACAACAAGAAAGAGAATGCTGCTGCAGCTTCTTCACAGAGGTCACCTGAAGAACAGGCAACCCAAGGATAAAGCTAAAGCCCAACACTTAAGTTTTGTGTTAGAAAGGTGACACTTCTATGTAAAACAGTTTCCCTTTAAAAGTCTGAAAACTGAAAGTCTGCTTTAAAACACCAGAAGCAAAAATAAAATGCAAGAGCTGCTGAAAACAGGCATTTCAACCCCATCAAAAGAGCGTGAAGCAGCAAGTGGCTGTTTAAAGTAGCTTGTCTCACTCTGGCATGTACAAATCATGTTGGCCAAACTCACTGTTCCTGTTGTCTTCTGTAGTTCTGTAGTTGACACCACAGTCTGTAGTTCTTTGTTATTTACTATTGCTCTTAAAGTGGCCTAAAAGAAAAAAAAAACAACACAAAAACACTGTTTCTTTCTCTCTCATGGTGTATTACCAGCACACATACATACTGTTCTGTGTCCCCAGTATAACTCAAATCTTCATGTTTTTGCATATCTTGGTTTATACATATTTCCCCTTACAACAAGGGGACATTCACAAATAAAGGAATCTTGTATTTATCAAAGCACAGTGACAGCACATTAAACTAGGTAACTTTTTCCTTTCTACTTAGAGGAAAGACTAATGACAATTGAACAGTGACTTAGTTCTATTTAGCCATGAAAAAGAAGATACGTGTATGCTGTACAGAAGATATATAGTAGAATATTATGTCCTTTGTGATTGTTTTACATTTGAATTTCTATCATGTAGTGCATGCATGTGCCAGACTTTACCTGAGTACAGTGAGGGATGAATCCATAGACAAGAAGCCTCTCATTGTTAAATAAAGACTGTATTTGGGCAGGAGCCTGCATTGGCTCTGGTGCGCCTCTATCAAACTGTTGCCATTTAATAGAAATTGATCTGCATTCTGGAGAAAATATTCTAGATATTTGGCTCTGTATCTGTGTAAAGAAGCAAAACAAATTAGCTCTCTTTGTTAGTATGCTTTCAAAGGAAAACTTAATAGAAAGTAACATATTTCCCATATGAATGGAACTAATTTTTTAACTACTGAAACTTGACACATACAATTCTTGATAAAAAAATGAATCTAGTGTTTGGAGGTAATAAGGAGAATCGTTCCCTCATTATTGTTCTGGCTTCTGGAATAATATATTTCTTTTAAGTGAAAGCTGAAATGGAGAGTAAAGCTTCTGTTCACCAGGGTTGCCAAACAGGCTAGGGAATATGGCATGCTACACTTAGCACCATCCCCTACACGTGAACTCTGAGATGTGCACAACTCCATGGCTTGCTCTGGATAGTTCTGCATATATCACTCAAATGACAGCCTGAACAGCAAGAGAGGAAATCTATGCTCTTATCCACTCCCTCAGGAAAAAATATGCCAGATATTAATCTTGCTGTAGCAGCTTCTCTACTGTCACTGTTCCAGGAGGGACCAGATTCAGGCACAGCATTGTGCTGTAGACAACATATATATGGAAATGGAAGAGCACACATGGGGTCATGGATTGCCTGAAACTTCTAGGTGTGCTGGAAGTCCAAAGTCACACAGTGCAGTTGCTACAGGCCTCATGGCTATCGAAGGGACAATGTTATAGATGGACTGTGGCCTGTAACAGAAGTAAAGCCATGTTTTGCCACTCAGGGACAACTATAGTAGTAATTCCCATTTTGAGATGCTGAAGTTAGGCAATATCCGATATTGATATAGCAGACAATTATCACATACCAAGTATATTAAAGATTTATAAATGTACCTTTGCCTCCCAGTTACACTTTGATTTTGAGTCAAAGTATTCAAATGCTCCAGCACCATATTGGGACAGAGATCTCAGCATGTGTCGATTTGCTGTGGAACTAATAACAAAAAATTATTTATGTAATTGTTGAATTAAATTATTCACTTCATAGTATTTCTAAATATTTTGCTTCCAATTAATATTGCAAGCTTTTTGAAATCTGAATTTTTAAAATTTCACCCCTTTACCAGGAGACAGGCTAACTGAAAGCAACTGAGCCAATGACTGTGCTGCTTTAGTAGAGATTTCAAACATTTGAGGAAATTACATGGTACACGAGTTTTAACATTCCCAGTGCTGAGCTGTGCAGAGAAATCAACTTAAGTTCAAACACCAGTGAGGCTGCATCAATGATCCTGATCATGAACTACTTGACATAAATTTTACAGCTACCTCCAGCATCAGCTGGGAAATGTTACTATCTGAATAACATGGATATAACCCGTATGTATTCAAGGTCAGGCTTGATGGGGCTCTGAGCTATCTGTTCTGGTGTGAGATGTCCCTGCGTATTGTAGGGGGGTTGGACTAGATGACCTTTAGAGGTCCCTTCCAACCCAAGACATTCTATGGTTATATGGTAACACTTATTAGCCCGATAGAACAGCAGGCTCTGCTCACCAACAGTCTGACTACTGTGAAGCTATTTCATAGGCATATATACAAATGAGAGCTTTATAGAGGATTAAAGGAGAAAAATCAAGCAGATGAGAATTCTTTTGGGTGAGGAAAGCCTTGAATATCTTTGTTGGACAGAAAATAGACTAATTCCTCAACACAGCCGTATCACAGTCTTAGTAATCTAGTGAATCCTCACCAAAACCCCTCAAGTCAAAATTAAGTAGTACAATTGTATCTATATAATGAACACGTAACAACTTGGGTTTAAGGTCAGGCAAATGTTAGTGGTGTAGAGGAACCACTAAAAGCCATGCCCTCTCAGACTAGCAGGACTGAGGTCATCCATCTCTAGGCCTAGTTCCATCATATCAATAGCCAATAATCAGTGAATGTAAATATGCTGGAATGTAAATACATTTAAAATTGTGTCAGTGTGCAGCTAATGGACGCATACTGTCTGTTCTTTATTGTGAGTCAATGCAACACACGATCATAACATATGATCACTCTGGAAGAGCACTGGGATGTCTGGTATGGGGCCTGAAGGGTGTGCTTGCCTAGTGCTAGGACAGGGCCCATGGCTGTGAGATCTGGGGAATGTTGCAGGAGCTACGGTGAAGGTGTCAATAAAAAGAAAAAATCGTAATAGAAGAACATGGCCCTCAGCACTGCTCTTTATTTTGATGTATCCTTGCCAGCTCTCCCACAATACGGTAAGAATTTAACACCTCCTTGACCCTTTGCCATTTATGCCTTGCAACCTAAAGAATGTAACTGTAACCCTTTAGTTTGTTTTTTAAAGTAATTTCAGTCATCCACGTATCTTTCTAGTTTGTTGTTACTGAAAACAAACTACATTGCAGCGAATTTCAGTGAGGTTTTGCCTGTTCCTTTGATAATTGAGAAGTCTAGTGGTTACTTTGTATTTAAGTAGTTACCTTGCAAAACAAATTACAATGAAATAATAAAATTATACAACTACTAGTGTTGGATTGAAACTGCCTTATTAAAATGAGACCAAAACATGAAACGCAGAGTTTCAAAACATTGACTCTTGTATTTTCCAATTGTATTCTAAAATAGTATCGTTGTTATAATGAAGAAAAATATGAATAGGCAAGAGTACCCGGACATGGAATTAACAGTATAGTAGGCATTTTACCTTTGAAATTTCTTACAGATTTTCCATTCAATTATTAAAGGCAGGCAAACATTTCCACATTTAATCTGAACATACATATAGCATAGCATAGCATAGCATAGCATAGCATAGCATAGCATAGCATAGCATAGCATAGCATAGCATAGCATAGCATAGCATAACACTTCCAGGGAGGGGGCATCCACAACCTACCTGGGCGACCTGTGCCAGTGCCTCACCACCCTTACACTAAAGAAGTTCCTCCTAATGTCTAACATAAATCTCCCCTCTTCCAGCTTAAAACCATTACCCCTCAACTTCTCACTACACACCCTGGTAAAAAAGTCCCTTCCTGGCTTTCCTGTAGCCCCTTCAGGCAGTGGAAGGCTACTATTAAGACAGTACACACAGGCATCTGACAGTTCTCAGCTTATTAACCTCTCATTTGGAATAAATTATCAGTGGTTTTAAATGAAATTGCTAGCCAACTTTGTACTTACCCTACACCACATGTAAATAACCTCGTGTGGTGGACATTATCCTTCACAAGTTGGAAGGTCACACTCTCGTTCTGAATGTGTCCATCTGATATAAGAATGACATTACGACATCCTTGGGAAGGAAACAGCAGGCTTAAGTAACGCAGGGTCTTCCATAAGTCAGTGTTTCCCAGTGTTGCAGTGGCAGACTGAAAAGTATCACAGTTAGAATTTAGTTTACTTTTTCCTAAAATAACATACAATGTATCATTTAATCTCTATTTCATTATACGTGACTCCTGGTTTCCTAATATTAATAATTAATTCTTACATTTTATTTGTTCTTGCTCTCCTATAATTACTGTTAAAGACAGAGCTTAAGGTCCGTCTAGTAACTTCTGTATCTTCTCTGGCTTAGGCATAAGGCACAAGCAAAATTGTTAAGAAAAATGGTAAATTCTACTCTTACGCTATTTTCAGAGCTTTCATTAATCAGTGGTTTTGGGACTCACTGAACTGGTGTTTTCATCTAAACTACTGTATCTAAAACCTCATTTTCTGAATTTAGTTGCAGTTTAGCCTCAACATAAAGCACGACAAGACATGAAGCAATTCATTATGCATCAAAAGGACCATTTGGTTTTTGTTGGTTTTTGTTTTGTTTTAAATCTGCTGATTGCTCATTTTGCTGGGTGTCCTGTGATCGTTAAGATGTGAGAAACAGCAAGTAACCATCCCTATTTCCATCTTCTTCTGTTTATCCTGGAAAAGAGATGACTATGTGAGGATTCAAGAGGTTAAAAAAAATCAGGACTAGTCCACTCTTTGTACAGCAAGTCATCCATGTATCTGGCAACCTTTGTTTTCCATTTCTCTTGCTCCTCTCTTTGAGATGGAGTGACCAGAAGCACACACACTCCTCACGATGCCATGGTAATACAGATTTATACAGCTACCTAAGTGTTTAGCTTTCTGATAGCTGCTGAACACTGGGCTATTATTTGACAAGGACTATTCACAGTGGCTCCAGCATCTCCTTTCTGGGTGTAGCCCAACATTCTACCGTTATAGTTAGTGTTGTTTTCCACCTTTGCATTACTCTGCATTGATCACCATTTGCATCTTACCATCCCATTCTCAAAACATCAATTTTATCAGTAACTTACACATTATGCCAGCATCAAGAAGCTTTAGTTACAGATGAGAAGCCTCCTACTGGTACTGACAAGATATGGTACTAATCAAAACCTGTTGGCCTAAGAAGTCTACACCTGATTTTTGGTGCCAAAAGCATTTTTCTTTTCACTGTAAGTCCTTTGGCCTAATTGCTGCCTTCACTCACAAATTACAGATATCCAGGAGAAAGTCAATAATTTCCTCTCTTTTTGATGTAGTAGGCAGTGAGAGGTATGAAACTCCAAAAGATAAATTCAGGAGGAAACACTGAAAAATGTCCTAGCATTGATAGCTACTCAGCTTCAAAACAATGATCTAAGAAAACACTTAAAACCAAACTGGAATTAATATTCAGAGGTGGCTGTGCTTGTTACTAGAGAAAATAGACTTCAAATAGACTAAGTTACAGAAAAGTCTCAGAAGCTGGCCTAAAGAAAAAGGAGGAAAAGACATGTAACAGAGTTTTGCAAAGGTAAGCATCCCATCCAAAGCAGCATTTTTTAGAAAACAACCAAACTGATTTACTTACTGTAATGAACTCCTTCAATGATTCCAAATCAGTTATGATGTTCATTGAAAAAGAAGAAAATTCTGAGAAATCTGTGAATAAAGCATATTAAAAGCATTAAAATATGAAGCATGTAGCAACATATGGAAACACAAGTTTAAGTTTTATAACTGCAATATCAAAGCAGAAATATTCTATACTGCTGGTTGCACTTCAGTGTGCTGTGCTGGTCTGCTAATAATGACATGCAAAAAATTAAGCCAGGACAAGAAGGTGAAAGGTGGCTCTCAGGTAAAAAGGAAATAGAGAAACTCACTTGTGCCAATTTTTATTACATTCACTCTTTGTCTGAAAGCAGTTAGTTCCAAAATACGTAAAGCAATCTGCTTTGCTTGGTGTAGAGCTGATCCTGCCATAGAATTTGAGCAATCTAATAAGATAACAACTTCACTGGACAGCTGCACTTCTTCAAGTGCTGTTTCAAATTCTGGCTGGAATACAAGCATGCAAGCCTGTTGAGGAAGAAACAAAATCATCAGTGCACTGGACAAATACTATTCCATTACAAGTGAAGCCAACCATCCTAATTCTTCTTATCATGCAGTGGAAGCAGAATATAGCCATATTTCAAAGTTTTATCAAACATGCCTGAAAACTGCAATTTCTCTGTCCTTCTCTTATATGCCAGGTCTCACTTGAGAAACTGAAAAAGGAACTTTATGGTTTCATGTTCCTATCTAATTCATTCTTTTGCAAATAACACCGGATTCTCTTCTACTAGTTAAGGAAAAGAAAAAACCCCACAGATATAATGTTTTACAATCATCATTGCCACCATCAGTTTGTGAGAAGTACCAGAATTAAAAAAAAAAAAAAAAAGTAAACTAGAAGAGTATTCTGTTATTGGTAGGAACAGATATACTATAAAAACCAAAGGTTTCCAAAAGTGGAACAATGAAATGCTTGAAGGAGTGAAAGTGTTTCCAGTAGGGAATGAAAGGTTTGCAGTTTGGAAACACAAATAGGCATCTTTTTCTTTCTCTTTTCCTTAAAGGAATATCAGTATTATTGCAGTCATGAGAAAGAAATCCCTTAACTAATACATTTAAACTAGGCAACTCTGATTAAAAGGAAGAAAAATTAAAGACATCATTGTTGGAAGGAAAACAATCTTAGCTGTCATTTTACTTATCTTAATCAATTTCAAAATTGAATTGACAGATTGGTAACAGCAAGACCTTACACTTTAGCTCTGTAGCATTTTATCTTATATAAGAAAAACAAACAGAAAACAGAGCTGAAAATGACTAAAAGTGCCAGAGACTTCACAAGAAATGTGGGAGACTAGAACAGCTTCTAATATCCTCCAATCACATACTTTTAAGTTTTAAATGTAATTCTCAGGCAGAGTTATTGTGCGTGAAGGTAAAAGGGGTTTAACTGGTCCTTCCTTTCCTAGCTAAGTTTTTATTGTTTTTCAGTAGTGATAATGAACTCTTCTGTGACACAGCCACAGCTGAGTTCTCTTTATGTGTGATCCAGTGTTAGAGAAGAGCTGGCTGTGTACTTTTCACTTATTAGTGAAAAATAAAAGATTCAAATGCCTTTGAGAACAATCACTGCAGCAGTAATAACTACAACAGAATGTGAAATCTAGAAAGGCCAGATGCCTTAAAATAAAACACTGACAGATTCTGTAAACATTTGTGTCTAAGCTGTAAATACAGCCCTTCAGAGTCAACGTGACCCTGAAGTTACTCAGTTCCAGCTTCAGCCATCACCTATTTTTTCACTTCCACTGCTTCAAATACATCTTTATCAAACACTGTAGTCACATATCTATGAAATATGAACAGCAACACAATTGTTAGAAAAAAGTGTTTTAACTGAAATGATTGGGCACTGTGTTGAAACTTTTACCTCCTTACAAGGCAAAGGATAAAACAAATGCAACAAGATGGCCTGAAGGTGTGCCAGGGGAGGTTTAGACCAGATATTAGGAAGAATTTCTCTACTGGAAGAGTAGTTAGGCACTGGAACAGGCTGCCCAGGGAGGCAGTTGAGTCACCATCCCTGCAGGTATTAAAGAAAAGTGTAGATGTGGCACTCCAGGGCATGCTCTAGTGGGCATGATAGGTTTTTTGTGGGTTATGTGATGGTGTTGGTTTTGCGAGGTGTGTGGTTGTGGGATTTTTTTTGTTGTTATTCTTTGTATGGGTGGGTCATGTTGTTCCCCCACCTCTGGGTGGATGGTTGGACAAGGTGATCTTAGAGGTCTTTTCTAACAGTGACAATTCTTTGATTCTATGCAACTGAAAAGAAAACTCCTTTCTGGAGAATACTCAGCTTAATAAAACAGATCAAATTGACCACTGTCCACGGTGTGACATTCTTCTTAATCTCTTACCCATCAAAACTAAACTGTGTCTGCATTGTGTTTTAGCATATTCATGACCTCATGAGCAGTACAAGTTATGCAGTACCTCACTCTTTTTGTTGGGATGCTTCTCTACCCACATCCGAGGCAGGTAGACCTGTGAAATCCAGATATCTAGAACAAAGCCACTAACATCCAAGGAGCTGTTCTCCACAGTCTGAATTACAGCCTTGCATTCTGTTTTCTAGAAGATGAGAAAAACAGGCATTAAAAAATTTATTTATTGACAGTAGTGAATATTATTTATTTTGTAAGAACAAGGAATAATGACAGCAAATTTAACAGGGGTAGTCCCAGAGCTTTTTGCCAAAAAGGCTATAGAAAGTTTACAAGGTACAGTTTCTATTTACATACTACAATCTTTAAAATATAATTCACTTTCCTGAGTGTATTTTTAGGTAAGAAGACAATTAAAACAGAAAGGCTTCAAGCAGAAAAGAGATTTTTATCCAAGAGAAACAGAGGACCAAGCTGTTTGCAGAATGAACAGTGCACAAAACCAGACAGATCTAGCACAAATGTTTTCTGGAATAAAAGTTCCATTTTAAATACACAGCAGAACTGCCAAAGCAGAAGCATAGTTACAGTGGAATTCATTTACCTTTATTTTAAGTTTATGTGTCCAACTATGTATGCGTTGAATACTAGATGGCATCTCAATAGACATATCCACAGAAAATCCACTAAATAAAAAGAGAAAAAAACACCTGAATGACACTCCAAGGAAGATTATATTTAATTTGCATGCTATGACATCCCCTTGAGAATGAGCTATGTTTCCTGACCTTTTTAACTTTTTGGGTGAAAGTGGAGAATACTTTTTAATTTAGAAATTGAATTGTATTGTATTTTCAAGTACCTTTGCTACAACTGTATGTGCAGTGTATGAACTTGTTAATTTATTCTTGATATATGGCAAAACCAGCATCAAATCTTTAGCTAACCAGTACAGTATTTCTACTAACCAACAGTAACTGTACTGAATAAAAGCAAGTCAATAATAGGAAACACTATTTCAAGATTAAATATAACTTTAGAAAATCATAACAGATGTAGTTTTGTGCAGACAAAACAGAAGGGAAACTAGGACATACTTATGAAAAGCACTTTTTTTAATATGGAAATATTAATAGCTTTAAGTTTTTGCACATTTACTGCCACTATCACCTGCATTGCTTGTTATTTTGGTTGAGAAAGGTCATATGCAGAACTGTTACCAGGAATAAAACTATAAAACTCAGTTTCTAAGAAGTCTTAATTTACGAAGTACATCACAGTTTCAGATAATTGTAAATTTTTATCTAAAATGCAAATGCTAAGAAAGGCTAAAATATTAAATACAGCAATATTGAAAAAGATTAACATCATGGTCTCAAGTTCTGTGACTTGGGAATTTATCTAAAAAAAAGGAAGTATTTAGCAAAGCAAAAGTATAATAATTGGAAGATAATCCTCTATTATATTACCTATCTAAGCCTAACAACAGATTAGAGTGAAAGGCAAAATTAGACTAAATAATGCAACTTACCAACAACTATTTCTTGTAAATAGAAAAACATTAATTTAATTTTTTTAACTTAATAATTTAAGGTATTGATAAATTAAGCCAGAAAACAATAGTAATGAAAGCAACTTACTTTTTCCGTGGTTTTACTTGTTTAACACAAACTTTTTTTACTGTATCCTACAAGGAAAAAAAACCACATTTTTAACGCACCAGTTATGAAATATTTGTATGTCCCTCCTGACACTTTCATTGCCTTGGAAATCCTTTCTCTTATTAAGTCACTAAGTTGGGATTACATGGAACTCTCTTTCCTTCATTTAGTCATATAGCTTTGTTATCTGAGCATCATAGTAGCTAACATTCAGAATAACTGCTGCATGTTTCTCTCGTAAGGGCACAGTGAACTTCAAAACTCAGTGCAATAGAGCTCTGAAGCAGAAGGTAGGATTGTTGAACAGTCAGACATGATACAGCTACATGATTTCACAGAGACTAGGACCACAAGGACCATTTCTGGCTCTTTGCCAGCATTTTAACACAGAGACTACCTTCCTTCCCACCTGGAGAATTCAGAAGCCATCAAGGGGATCCAAGAAAAAGTGGGCAACCTTGTTCCTGAAGCAGAGAAGGATAATAATGGCACAATGTGCAGCAAATGCTTGGCTGCCATTTCATGATGGACATAATACAATGTCTTTGCAAGCCAAAGAGGAATAGCAGCACACAAACAGCAGGTAACTCAAAAGATGAGATCTAACATGTGCCAACTCAAGTCAACTTCCTAAGTCCTGCAGGAGCAAATGCATCCTCAGACATAGAGGTTTTCTACCAGCCACAGCATTCCTAAGTGCATGTTCACATTGCTTCATAACAGGAGTGGTTACAATTATCTTCTAACAGAAGAAAATAAATGAAAATTGGAAAAATCATAAACTTAATGAAGCCTCTTGTGTAACTACAATTCTATAGGTACAGAACTTCTGCTTCAAAACAAGAAGATGGTATTTTAAGATTGTATTTTAACAAACCTGTGTGTTTTCATTTAATGCTTTGTCTTGTTGCCATGGTGACACAGAAGCAGGCATATGAAAGGTGATAGAACCATGTTGAAAACTCAGTTCAGTTATATACGTGATTTTGATCACAACTGTAGAATTTGGAGGTAAGTTTCCAACACTTATTACAAAAACATCCTAAAAACCAAAAAACACAAACTAGCTTTAATGACATAATTAAAGTTTATGATTTCTAAAACAATAATACAATTGGTATTTAGGCACACTCAGAACAAATGCTAACACAGAAACGACTATTTGACTTTGGTGAAATATAGGGAAAAGGCTGAACAAAATACAACACTGCCTGGGATTATTATGTATTAAATTATTGTAACTGTATTTGTGGTATGTATTTTCTACCTTGGGGTATCCTGCATCTTTACTGTTTCTTCTCACCTCTAAAGAGATTTAAGTGTTTGAATATTTGGTAGCCTCTAGTGATTTGGGGTCATGTTAATATATTTGCTGTTGTGAAGCCTGAAGAGGGTTAAGATATGAAATGTCAAACTTCCAATAATCCCTTCATTTCTGGCAAAAATGGATCAAATGTAAGTGAAAAATTCAAACTTAAAAAAAAGGGGGGAAGGGGGAAAACCACCTGAAAGAGTAGTATCTGTTTTATTTAAGCCATAGCACATATTAAAGAAACAATAATTGTCTTTAAAAATGATCAAATGTGTGGTTGAAATGAGTTCTAGTAAAAAGGAGTTTCCCAGTAAAGGCACGATTCAGCAAAGAATCTGTAATTCGACAACTGCAGAATTTTCAAGCAGGTACTAAACCGCAGTATTCAACATACCGGTGCATCCTGGTCCATTAGATAAGCTCCATCACCCTGACTGATGGCTTCCCGATATTCCCTATGTGCTTTTTTCTTTTCTTTAACCTATGAAGGATTGTTCCAAAATAAGAAATTTCATTTCTAAAGACAGAAAACTTAATCAATGTTCTCTTAAATGACATGACTACCTTGAAATCCAGTCAAGCACTAACAACTAATGACAGGAGAGAAACCAAAATTAGTGTTGCATATTTTCATCACTAATTAAGTGCTTTCAGATCTAGACATTGAAGCAGTTACATCAAAGGCAAAGTACAATAGTATTTTACCTGTCCAATTACGTGTTTTCCATTGATAAAAGCTTCAAATCCACAAACAGCAGCTTTGTCATCCAAAGGAAAGACATATTTAGCTTCAATTGGCTTACTGTTATGATTGGTGTAGGTCTGAAACATTACAACCTAGAAAGAATATTTATTGCATAACTGTAATGTTAAAGTGTGATTAAAACATCAGTACTTTACATGTAACAGCATAACTGCTTTGCACTGTAAAACATCAAGCGGTCTGCCACAACCTGAACTTCTATTTGTACCTTAGAAATGAATGTGTAACATTCATCAGTGCTTGGTTATCTCCAGAAACATGCAAGGAGCTGTAGAACTTTTAATTTCTAAAATATTATTACAATCTTTTCCAGAAAAAGAGTAAACACTAAGTAGTATTTTGACTAAAACACTATTCAACAAACAGATTAATTTTTCAGGGCTGAGTATGGAAAAGGACAATAAATAGCATACTCTACCTGTGCTACAAAGTCTATTATCCTCCCCTTGATATAAACACCTTCCAGAGGGATAGGATTTCCCAATCTGTCCTGAAGACCAGTTTTTTCAGGATTCAAAGGATTTGCACTTGGCAATGCATAGCCTAAACAAAGAGTTTATGAAAGATTAAACAGATCTTTTTTGAAATATACATTTGGGAAACATGATTTAAACTAATCCTCTATCAATGGCCCATTTTTATTTATGCAATTCACACACAAAAGTACCACTCATTTTCTGTTACGAATGCTTGAGTTGCATTGCTGATCTGTAGGCTGTCTGTCTGAGAGATCATCAGTTCACAATAGTTCCTTAAGATCTTACAAGGTCTTTCTTTAGAACCTTGCATTTGAATTATTTAAAGACCACGATGATTTATGCAAACGTGCTTCTCTTGAAACACACTGTGACAGGAGGAGTTGCAACTGCTCTTGGTAATTGTACCTAGAGGAAATCTGTTAAACAGATGCTACACGGATGCCACATGTTAACCGCTAATTTGGTAACATCTGCAGATAAACTACAGATTATTCTTTATGATGTTATCTTCATACAAATACTCCAGGAAGGGTTCTGACAAGTATTAGGAAACTCTGGAAGCAAGTCAATGTACAAACAAAAACCATCTCTTACTTTCATGTTGTAAATGACACGGCGACTCCAGCTCACTGGTATCTTGCTCCAGTTCCATCCCAACTTCAGGATGAAATGGTTTGATTTGATCTTCAGCAAGGCAAAACTTAACAACATATCTAATTTTAACCTGACAGGTTTTATACACAACAAATTCATCATCCTGGTAGGAACAAAGAAAGGTATGTTACAAGAAGAACAAAGCTGTAGATAATAGCTAAAACAATGCAAATTGATAAAGAGGTGAACTTCAATGACACATAATTTTAGAAAAATAATTAAGAAACTGACAGCTTTTCTTTTTACTCTCCCCATCTATCACTTGCATTTGCTATCGTCTTAGTTTGTATTCTCCACATTCCATCAAGCACAATGATACCTCAAAATAACTAAAAACAAAAAAGTAAAAATCTGTTGGATATTTAGAGAGCAACTGTACCTGTTACTGTGCCACTACAGCTATAATCCCTCCCTTACAGTACCAAATTAAGAGGACAGGGATTTTTATCCACTGGGTTAATTTCTAAAACAATGAACCTTCCATGACAGTGATTTCTTATTCCATACAGAATAGAATATTGCTCCCAAATAGTAAGTTAAATATCACAGACCAGAGATTAATACGATGATTCAGTTATAATAAAATCTAATATTTACATCTTTCTTTTAAGTACCATTTTCTTTCAAGAATTCTTTACAAATAGCAATGTAGAGGCTTATAATTGCTATATGTACTTTAGGGGCTACAAGGCACACAAAAGTGATTTTACTCATTACTGTCTAATGATTTAGTGTCTGAATTGAACTGCAGGTTACTCTCATTCATTATCTCTCAGCGGTATAATAAATCCAAAATGTGGTGCCTTTTCCAGTGCCCAATCCTGCAGGGTCAGTACCTCGAAGTCTGAAGAGGTGCCTGCTGTTCTGCGGACTCCATGCACACTGTCATACCCTGAGGGTGCCTGGTTTAATGAATAATCTCGTTCAACCAAATCCAAGCAGGACCCAAGTGCAACATCACAAACTGCCAGGAGCCGGGATCCGTCCATTTCACTGGGTAAAGAATACTTAATACTGGCACTAGATGTAAAGAAAGATCATATACATTTTATTAACGTGACACTTTATGTTGAACATCATAGCAGGCTAAGGATACACAAGTACTTCTGAACAGATGGACAGGAATAAACTTTATCATTACATTACCTTAAACATATGAAGCATTTTATGTACTTAACTTGAAAAGTAAAAAGAATACACAAAGGATAAGGAAAGAGATACTGTCATTACTCAGACCTAACAGAATCACTGAAGTAAATGCCACTGCCCAGATTCCCAGCGTCAGTTCTTTCCACACCATGATCTTCAACAACCACTTTTGGCATCAGAAGTCCTCTAGAGAAAAAGAAGGTCACACAATGAATGAAGTACAAGACCTATCCAGATAGGAAAGAGGACATCATCAATGCAATTCTTTCGTAAAACTAAATAAACTTTCCACACAGCTATTGCCTTCTTACTCTTTCCACTCTCTCATCTTTCATCTGGATTTAAACCACACGATTCATCATCATATCCAAGTAGCTGCATCTCAAGTCTAATCTACCTGGAGGGTAATTAAATTTATCATTACAGGAGATTGATTTTCCTTCCAGATGTCTGTGGAAGTGTATGGATGTTCATGTAAATGTTAACAGTAAAAACCAGGCTAAACATAATGCAAAAAAAACCTTCATAAAAATAAATACATTTAGAAGCCAAAATATATTTAAGAACATAGCTAAGCCTGATTCTTTGTCACAAAAAAAGGGAATGTAAATTTTTACCTGGAAAGAATTCCCATGAAGTTGCGCACAGATGATGCATGGAATAAGGATCGAATATTTCCAAGGCTGCTCAGAAATTCTGCTGTTTCACTTACTCTGCCAACCCTATAAACTTGCAAAATTCTCACTGGACAGTTACTGCAAAAAATTTGAAACAATTTTTGAGATCTCATGACTTAGAAAGTGCATTGAAGATCAATCCACTTCTAAAAGAGAAAGTCTTATTCCAAACCTCAAAATAACGCTCAACTTGTTTTCTGAATATACAAACATACAAGAACAATCACCAGAGACATAAAAAATTAACTTCAAGACCTATTTGTTGATGTTGAAGGAGAAATAAAAAATGTGTTTTCATGTTTAAAGTCATATGAAAAGATCTTGACATTTTGGGATCTAAATTCAGAGACGTGTCACATAAATCCCCATATAATTCTATGCAGCTCAGAGTCTGTAAGTACTTGAATTATTGCCAGCAAATTTGTCTTTTACTAAAAATTCTTTTACCGAGAAAACTCAGAGCCCTCACTGTTTTGTACAAATATCACAGTTCAGGCTATCTGGAGGTAATAGCTCCCAATTAATAAAGACTTCCCAATTAAGAAATATGCTTGAGAGGAGGAAAACTTGTCTGCAATCACACCTCCAGCAAGATCCGTGTGTTTTACATGCAGTAGTTACTGGACAGATCTGTCATTAAGATTCATGTCCTTCCTTTCTAGTAAATACACAAACCAAAATATTCAGATTCCCTCTTTATCACTTCTTACTTTTACCCTTCCCAGCTGAATGCTCTACTTAATTATTGTGTAAAGGTCTGAGTGAAGAACAGAGTGCTCCACACCTTCCCTCAGCTTAAGCACATGCTCAGAATATATTTCCTCAGATAACAGACTCTGGACTAAGGACTGAGCTCTTAGCAGTGTAAAGACAGTGATAGCCTATGAAATACCCAGAAGATACTTTAAGCTTCTAGTGTCCCCGACTGTCACACAGTGAGGGACCTCTGGATTTACGAAGTAATGGAGAAGAGGACTTAAAGATCACAATTTCTCATTAAGATGCTGTAAGTAGATGGTACCTGGATGGTGAAAGCATAAAGACCCATTTACAAATCAAACCTTCATGCTTTCAAGACTTAATCAGCTTCAGTCAAGTTCTGAGTTCCTAAATGCTAAAATAATAGTGGTAAATAGGACACAGCCTCTTTCATAATTTTGAACACTTTACTTCAATTGTGTGGTTTCCTCAGTTGAGGATTAGAGAGATATCCTCATTTATGAAGCTGCTACATGAACTTTTTATTTGAAGGGGTTTGTTTTGGGTTTTTTTGTTTGTTTTTGTGTGTGTGTGGTTTTTTTTTCAATTCTTCTTTTTAAGAACTTTATTTGGACCCTGATCTTTCAACATGCTCCTATTGCAGCTGAAGTTTTTTTAAATTATTTTTTTATTAAAAACTAAGATTGCAAATGCAGAGACTGAAAGGGACTAAATGTGTTCTAATTTTTGCAATGTCATAGGCTTACCTATTGTGTAAGAGTAGAGCCAAAGCTTTTTTTGGAAAATCCTGTGCTTATAATGAATTAGTTTATTAATCAGTATATAGGCTCTAACATAAATAACTGCTGTCTACTAAGAACAGTCCCATGAATTCAGGTAACAACAAATTTCTCAAAACTTTACTCAGTTATTTCTATCACAAAGAACTATAATGCAGAACTGAGTCCCACAAACCATAGTTCTATTAATTTTAAATTACTTTAAAAAAATTAAACTACATGTCAATTGAAAGTCAACTACTGAACTTTGCTGAAGACAAAGGGAAGTTTCCACGTTCCAAGCACAATACTCCTTCCAGACTTGGGCAATATATACTTGGATATAACCACTTGGTAATCAGTAGTTGCTGGTTTAGACCTTAGCTGCATATTCACTCAGTAAAAACAAATTTGGAGTGACTATCTATATGTAACTGAAGCCCACTTCATCCTTCCCTGTATTAATGATTTAACCACAGATTATCCCATTTCTAGAACCTCCTTCTCTTTAATTTCTCTACCATTTTTAAATGTTTTTAATCAAAAGAGACAGGGTGCCCAGTTAGAAGCCAATGTCAAGAACATTAAGTAGAATGATAGTCACATTTGCAGAGTAACTTCCCAGAAATACATTGTTTTCACACAACCGAAAGGGAACTATAAAAGGATGGCAAGTTCTGTACATAAAAACCAAAAAGGTGACCAGGTATTCCCTCCCATCCCTATCATGCTTATTGATGCAGAAAAAAATTATTTGTTTTTCTCAATAAATACTGAGAAGCAGAGTAAACAAGACTAGACTGCATATATCTTATTTTAATAGCTCTTATGGACAGCTTTTCACAATTAAAAACAAACAAACAAACAAAAAACAGGAAAAGAAGTTGAACTATATTATAATTTTCAGGTTTGTTTTTTTTTATTTACCTCCCTTTCATTCTAGTGTAGGTTATGGTAAATATGTCAGCTCTGCAATCCCATTAGCACAATCAACACTGAACAGTAACAGAATGTGGTAATTCAGTCGTCTTCAGAGTTATTTTGGGCACTACATCTTTAATGTTACTGGAATAATTGCATAACTATTAAACACTCACTTGTAATTGTTTTTTAACACTTGTTGTTTAACGTTGAGGAATTCATGACTTGTTGAGTCAACAGCTTCGATCCTGCACCTCAGAGCTTGGTACTTGGCCAAAGATGATGGGTTTGGGCACGACATACTCGTTTCACATATATTAAGCATGTCTCTGATTAGCTAGAAAATACAGACAAAAAATTATGAATAAGTGATACATTTTAATTAAGGAAACACGCAAACCAAACTGAATTATATAAAGTTATAGTTTTGCAACAATTAAATGGAGTATTCAAAATAACATTTCCACTTGTTAGATACCATTTAGAACAACAGCAAACAGCTGTAGAATGCCCTGAAAACAATTCAGAAGGAAAAGGTCTATGAGAAATAGACTTCAACTGCTCCTCTACAGCTCCAAATCAAGCTTTGAATGGAGCCTGCTCATAACAGCTCCACAAACCAGTATTTGTACTTGGTTACCATTTTGATTTTACTTATGAGGCAATCCCTACTTGTCAGAATCTTCCATACTGTCCCTGATGTCACTATCCAGCTAGGGCAGTAGCAGAAACCACCCAATGTAATTTTCTCAGAGTGGGAGAAAGGAGGATGAAAAGATTGTACAGTTCACTAAGTCACGAGAGAGCTTTAGGAGACAGGTATTTTTCTTACATCAGAAATAGCAAAAGGTTTTAATTAACAATACTATGAACATTTGTTCTTTTAGAACCGTAAGGCACCTCCTTACCTCTCCCGCCTTTATATTTTGTGGCTCACAGAAGACTGACTGCTGGGTATCTTTTGCCAACAGAAAGAGACATCTTTGGCAGAATCTATGGAATTTTACTTATAATTGCAATACAAGGAGGAAATGGGAGTTTGCTTTATAGTAACAAGAGTGATGTAGCTGTGAGAGCTGAGTGCTTCTCACCTCCCCAGAGGGCTGGCTGCTGGGGCTCAAGGCCAGCTCTGACAGTGCAGTTGTGGAGCCTTGAAAGAACTGTGAGAAGACTTGGACAATTCCTGCCCCTCCTTTGCTCAAGAGATGCCTTTGAGCTTAGGCTCTTGCTCTTGGTCTCTCGGCTGAGCTATGTTGCCAACATGCCTGCATCCAGCCTCCCACCTCCCTGGTTCTGACCCAGATCCTGTGGACTCAAGTTCCTGGTTTGGCTTTGGACCTGCCATACAAGCCATGAGGACACAACCCGACTGACCCTGGCTACTGTCACCAGCAGTCACTCTCACCTGCTTTGCTCTTCCTGTTTGGGTAGTGTGGGACTAGAGGCACTGCCAGTGGTGTAACTGCCCTGGCCTTGCTCACTTTCACCCCCAGCCCCGTCTGCTTGCCCTTACGGAGCAGCCAGACTGTAAGAGCTGAATCTGTGTGCACTCCCAGCACACCTCATTGGCAATCAGCCCAGCAGGCTCAGAGTTTTCCAACTAGTTTCTGCAATGATGAGACAATGGACTGACTCACAGTGCAGTAACTGAACTCCTGAATGACTGAATTCCTAGCCAGATTTAAAATGAAGGAACTGACTAATTAACACAGGATCTGAGGGGGAGCTATGGAGGGTAGATTCTTGAAGATCCCTCTAGGCAGGCCAGCTGTGCCTAGACAAACTGATAGATGTTATCAGTTTAAATGTGCTGACTAACTTCTTGCACTAAACAATCCAGGTAGTCCAGGGATCTCCCCCAGGCAGTTTGTGCTGTAGAAGTAGGAACAGACCAAGATGTACATTGATTGGTAATTGTAAATAATCTCTGGAAACTGTTCCTGCAGATGCAAGAAAGGAAAGCGTACACAAAACAGTCATAGTATATAGTTAAATTAGCTTAGATATATTTTGTATATAATTTAAGATAATCAATAGAAAGTGATTATATATATGCTGGAGTAGTTGCTAGGATCAGCTGGATGCTAACAGTTCTGTGATTCTCTTTTGATCCAGCTGAAGAGGCCATCACAACAATGATTGCAGTAGTAACTCCTGTCACCATCTGGACAGCAACTAGTCTTCCTGTTCAAACCACTGCATTCCCCTCATGAGCATTACTCTACTCACAAGATTCCAACAAATAATTTTTTTAACTGACAGCCTGTAACTAGCTACGCAAACTATCCTGTCAATTTATCTAGTGACCATGTTCAAAACTGTTGTAGCACAGTACAGATCAGAGCTTCCTAGCAATCTGGGAAAGTTACCTGACACAGGTCCTGTTTTCTAGATAGCAACTTTTTGGAAACTGTGTAGTCTATTTCATTTTTGTGACGTATAACTTGATAGAATTCCACCATCATCTCTCGCAGTGCCACCTCGCCAACTCCCTCATCCAGCGCATTCTTCACTTGGAGTAAAATACCTTCTGCTTTGCTCACCTTTAAAATAAGAGATTATTGAACTGAAAGCTACTGCAGAAAGAGCACAGAACAATAAATAGAGATAATGCATAATTTAATTCCACACTGAAATAAAACTTTAACTCTTGTTAGTGTGATACCCACAAAATATTTTCTTGCAGCTGGTACATGAGAACAGTATTTAAAAGCTGGATATTATGCTGCCCTTATACTGGGCTACTTGTGAAGCACCTCAAGCAGAGCTAAGAGACAGTAAAATAACCTCCCTGAAATAAAACACAATATTAATCCAATTGAAAGATAATGTTCCTTAAAATCTTACTAATTCAGTTTTAATGCATTGATGAAACAACATAGAGGATAATAAATCTCTTACTAAATGCCTAAGTGCACTAATTAGTTCTAAAATACATAGAGTCAAAGTCCTAATTATAAAGTGCAATCTACTAATAAAACGAAAGTAACGACATACAGGACATAAGATTTGCCTGTATCTATATATTCCTTCTCAGTTGAAATTTTTCACAGACTACTTTATATTATTTTGCCTTTTCAATGCCAGAGGAAAAAGACACAATGCTTTATAATTTACATGAACCACAAGCAATATCTAGTAAAATGTTGACATTAGAGGCTGTACAGCAATGTCTTACTACAGTTCAGTATTGATCCAAGACTGGTTTCTGTCTCTGCCTTTGGTAAAAAAATTGAGGGTTAATCTAACTGAATAGCCACACACTTAACTATTGTGTTTCAAAAATCCAAAGATTTTATTTCTTTCAAGACAAATGCTATTTCTCTTGCAATTTGATTACACATGGGCAACACTGAATGTTGTTTATAAAACTATTATCAAATTTTTCCTACCTGAAATATGTTAGGAATTTTAATATCCAAACAATTGAACCTCATAAAAAGCACTTACCATAAACAGCATTTAATTTGTGTCTGCTGATTTAGGTAGTGTACTCACTACTGTCTCTGAGTACATGTATACAATATTAATAATGTACTGCTTTGTCACCAGAACCTACATTAACATGTACTATTTCTGCATCAAAAAGTGAAAGAAATATTCTTCTACCATACATCAACTGAAGAGCACCAAAAGTGAGTTTCATGTAATAAGATTAGGGCAAAGTAATTTCAGGACTGGGGACCTCCTACCGGCAAAGGTCTTCCAATTTAAAACTAACATAATCTTCAGGTAACTTTGCCTCCAGTGATAAGAGAGATTAAAAAAACTTTTGTCTTAAACAGACATCTTGTTGGCCATTTGTGAAGTTATAAGAACCTAAATTGGATCAATAAACATTATCCTCTTAAACATCTCAGGAGCAAAGCAAAAGAATTGAGGTATGTGGGAAAGTGGGATTTAACGAGCCATATTGTTAACAAAGGGGGTGGATATGCAGTTACCCTTGTTAACAGCTGTACAATCCAAAGGCCTTCAAGAGAAGCTGTGTGATAATTACATGTGCCATCTGATAATGCAGACAAGAACTATAATTAGAACTATTTTTCCATTACAAGAGAATGGCTGACTGAAGCATAGTTACATGAAAGATGGCAGGAGACAGCCACCTGCTATTATGCAATGTCTTCTATGAATATCTTCTTATGTGACCTGACTTATCTCATGGAAGGAATACTCCCATGGGAATTGTGTAAATTGCTATAAAATGGAAAAGACAGGCATCTGGCCTAAAAATTACAGCATGTTTCTAGTGGCATGATTCTAAAACAAAATTTGCAACAAAAATTTCTGAAGCAGGGATTTGTTGAAGTGCAAGAGTATCAAAAGTTTAATTACCATCTGAAACACAACATACACATTTGCTGGAAAAAAATACTTCTGACAGTATTTATGTATTCATCCTCACAGAATAGTAAGAATTAACTTACATCATTTAGGCTTATGTTGTTTACTGATTCAAGCAGTAAACTATCCAGATGGCCAATAGCTTCTGCCCAGATCAATTCCACAAAGTCACTCACTTCCTCACATATAACACTTGAATGGATGGCTTCTTCTAGAAGTAACTGTAGTAAAATAAACACAATCCAGTGAAAAGACAAAGACGTAAGTAATGGCAGTGATGTTCTCACACAGATAACTAAACTATCCTATTCTCATAAAAAATACAGTGTTAATTCATGTTTAGTATAATTTCCTTGGTCCCACTGAGCTCAAGGAAGGTTTGCTTTTATAAATTCTTTCCAGTGGAGAGCACAGCAGGCAGGTGGTCATGACCTCTCTTGAAAATTGAGACATGAACTCCTGAAGAAGACAGAAGTTTAGGTATATGGACATAATAGCCTGCAGACCCCAGCCATTTCCTTTTTTGCACAGCTGGTGAAAGAACAGATGGTTCAAAATGGCCAGTGTTTTCTAACACCTCTGACAAATGACACAAGATCTCTAATTCAGAGAGCTCTGGTGGGAAAGACATTATTCCCGCAAAAATTAAAAATAGGAGCAGCAAAGTTACAGGAGAACAGAAAGGCCATGAAAATCAGTTAAATTCTTATGTCACAGAGAGTTGTGACAACAGATTTTCTTATGTTCTTCTGAGAAACATTGCTTAAAAATTGACTCAAGCTGTTCCTCAGTGTTCTACAACTCCAGAAGCTGCCATTAAAGTTGATGCCATTACACAGTTCTCATGCAAGTTTGGATATTCTACATAATTTGTTTATATGGCATCAACCACAAGGCTTATGAGATCACTGGTGAACATATGTGGGCCTTTCAACATTGCTGGATATAATCTATGTGCCAGTCGTGCCCTGTAATAGAAGCCAACCATGGTGGAAGAGAGAAGCAGATAAAGTACAATGAGAAAAAATTTCTGTCACACTACAACCATTTTAAAAAGCAGTAAAACATTGTCTGAAATGTATTTTAGGGAGCAGAATCTATCTGCTATTGTCATTGAGGGAAGTCCTGTTACTGATTCCAATACTATCTACATCAAGCCTATGACATCTATATAGTGTGCAGAATAATTCTGATAAAGTCATACATCACACAATTCTGTTTGCTGTATGAACACATTACTTTTTATGTATCACATTAATTGAATTAGTACTTCACTCAGTATTCTGAAAAAAAATTAATTCCAAACCTTTACATATAAACAGTTTCTTTTAACCTATGGCTGCATCATGGTAATCTAGATGTTTACCACATTCGGAAAACTTGAAGCTAAACCAAATTGTAAAGGAAAGAAAAGTGTAAACATGCAAGTTGTACAGGCCTTTTGCAACTTTGTAGAACCTAAAGATTCTGCTTCTGGTGGAAAAGTTTCTCTGAGCAGGAAATCCTGGCTCTTCAGGTCTGCAATGAAAGTACAGTACTTTTCTCTTATTTCTTCAGCAGTACTAGTTAGGAATTGTTTATGATTCTGTAAATTGAAAGAGTAAAATTAGTCAAAGAAACTAAATAGTGACTTAAAGAATAAATTTTACCAGGCCTTGCTCTAACAGCTGACAATCTACACTTAACTTCTGGGTTGTGATTTGTTTCTAGCAAGGCAGTGCTTTTTGTAAGGGTCCATGAGACACAAGAACAAGCACAGTGCTCCACATACAAATGCCACAGTGACAACACAGGTTCATCTAAATGTGTGCTGGAATAACTTGTTCTATCAATTGAACTATTTGAAATTCATCCCTGGTACAGCTCCTTTGACTTGAATCTAACGTTAAAGTGACACAGACTGCAAGTGCTATACTGGAGTGCACACCTAACTTGTATGCTAAGAAACATCCGGGCTGCTCTAAAGACAAGCTTTTCTCTCACTAGCATGTCCAGAATTTCACTTGTTACAGCATTTCAGCATGTAAACATGTCATTATACAGTTTAGATATTGCTAGGAATATATATCTGAGTATGAGGCAGGTGCATTGAAGACCATGCTGTGTTGCAGCCAAGTCCCGAAAGACTTATTTTGAGCAAGTTGTAAGCAAACACAGAGTAGAGGAGCCAACTATAAACCAAAGCCTAACAGAATGACCTCCTATTATCTATACCCACAGACTAGCCTGTAAAGAAGGATGAAAAACATCTGAAGCTCTGGAGTGGGTACACTCAGCATGCACAAAGAAACAAACAGGTAACATTAATGAGTGGTTCATACCTTAGCTCCATCTGATGTACTGAAGTGTGCATATAGTCGAAATGGAAACTCACAATGCTCCAGGCCACACTGCAACTCAATAACTACAAAATCTTTGCTTTCATTGGAGTTAACCTAAATGGAGAGATAAATAAAGCCCCACAACCCCGGATTTATTGCTTAAGTATGTTTCATTCACATGATATTGCACCAAGTACTTTCCCTTGTCCTACTTATCTTTTCTTCTCGTTTAGACCCACACACACTGGCTAAGAAGAGAAGCAGAATTAGTCATTAATTGTATCATAGTAACAAGCAAAAGCTCCTCTCAGGGCTTCACTCTATTGGTTGCTGAACACTTCCACCATTTTTGTGTTTGGAAAGAATTTTAATAGAAAAGTTAAAATTTTAAATTCACATAACAGCCATGACAATGTGTCAGAAGCAAAAAGCAATAATAGCAAAGTTTTATTTGGGTAGAATTAGGCTGCACTGAAAGACATAAAGCATTGAAGTACTTTTCAGTACTCCTCTTTGCATTGCAGTATGTGATGACATAGAAGAGTTATTGCTAATGTGTTTAAAACTGTAAACCTTTTATTCAACTACTGATCCCCCCACAATTCTCTCACAATAACAGAAAGGCTTACTTTTTCAAGGACACTGTATTTTGCAACTTCAAAGTCTTGGGGAAAAAGGGGAATATCTTGATCATTTTCACTGTAAGATCTGAAATAGAATCAGAGCAATTAAAATAATGGATGCCCAATAAATACCATGCTGTAATAGGCTGCAACTTCATACTGAAGTAAGAATTAATGTAAGAAGACAGAACTATTTTGCAGCAGCAAAATAACAACCAAAAAAAGTCTTGAGATGTGAAATCCCGCTTGGACAAGCTGCTACATGAACAGGCCAGAATGTTTAGTGTGGAGCTGAAGACTAGATTTCAATCTTCATACTTTAAAAAAAAAAATATAAACAATATGATACATGTATTTTCATTGCTTGGTTACATGTTAATTTTTAAATAGCTTAATCAGTTAACCTGAACTGTCTGAGGCTAACACCTCCCTTACTCCTGAGCTCCACATGAGGGTTTATACATGCAGTTGCATCCCTTAGTATCAGGACTTTTAAACAAAGTGCAATTTCCAGTGCATGCCCACAGAGGAACTAAATACCTACCCTATGACTGAACAGCAGTCTCTAAAAGTGAAAATTGCATCTTGTTAATACATTTAAGAGTGTGGGAGTTGGTTTTGTTGCCTTCACTCATTAAGTAGAAACAGTTAAAACAACTCTGCTTCCCTATCAGCTAAAAGCAGTCTCAGTTATCTTCATTTTCAGCTCTCCCAAGAATTTTCATGAGAGACACAGATGCTCAGCACTTCTGAAAACAACAAATCAGACTGGATTACAAAAACTCATGTGACTCAAGAAAAAAGTTGTGATGATAAGCAGATGTCCAATCATAAAACTTGAGTCATATTAATGCCTACAGAATTGGTAGCTTTGCATGTATCAGGGAGCTGGACTGTAGGTGTACACAGAGACATTGAAAAGGAAAAATGTAAAATAAATTTCTACCATCAGATCTGAAGGTCAAAAAGAAAAAAGAAAAAAAAAATTAAAAAGTTAAAAAGAAGCCATTATAAATTTATCTACACAGAATACAGAACATGAATAAAGAACAATTTTATCTTTTACTACATTGTTAAGATAACAAGAGCTGTCTCCAGAAGTCAGCAAAACAGACTGGGAAGTGGAGGTTTGTTTTGGTTTGGGGTTTTTTTCAGTTTATAGAAGTATCAACACAGATGCATCCAAATGCATATTTTATTTTACTTTACCTTTCAGATTCATTTCTGCTTTCACTGTCTTCAATAAAAGTAGGGTTGTAATTGTTGTTTTCATTTTTCTTTGTGGCACTTTTATTTTTAGAAGATGACAGGTCTTCCACAGCTGCAAGCAAAACACTTATTCACTCGGTATAGTAGCTGTTTTCTCTAGTTTAATTTACAAATGGTTAATCAGACAAATACTACTACTTCATACTCATGAATATTTTAAATGTTGAAGCAAGTTACAGCTTTTAAGGTCACAATTTATTCAGCCATATGACTGGCAGGACACAGAGTAAAGTACTGAAGGGCAACTGCCCTTCAGCAGTGCATCCCTGGACTATGCTAGTGCTTATTCCCACCACCCTGACTTCTGTGACAGGAAGGGAACAAAGAATTAGTGCATGGACTGAGAGCCGCACTTCTTCACTTGACCACAGAGCCTCAGAACTATTCCTCCATGGCTAATGTTGGTATTGGGGAGTTTGTGTGGTTGGTTGCTTGGTTTGCTTTGCTTTTCTCTCTCCTTTTTTTTTTTTTTTTTTTTTTATGTTGCATAGATATAGTGTATGGTGCATGAATGCAGTTTTACTTTTAGCTTGAAACTATTTAGGATTGGTACCAAATGGATCTACCCAGCTTCAGCCATGCTGTGCAAAACCAGATTTGTCCAACAGACTCAAATGCACAAAAGCAGGGGTCTTGCATCTTATGATATGTAGTTCTGAAACTCATACTGATTCACATCAGAGTATTCATAAAATAAAGTGAAGACCCACTGAAGACCCACTTTGTTCTGTTAAAATAAAATAAAATAAAATAATTAAAAAGGAGTCAAATAAAGACAGTCTTTGGAGTAGTTTCTTTGTTACTTTCAAATTTTTATCCACAATTACATCTTGAAGTCTTACTTGAAGTTTCATTAAAAGAAAGAAAAAAAAAATCAATGGACAGAAGTCACAGAATGGAACAAGTATTATTTTCTGAAAAATAAATATTCTTCAATCAACTTTATTGCAAGTTTTATGGTAGCCAATTTTAAAAAAGCTGATTCTACATATTCATCTTCTAAAACATTGTTTCCCAAAGAAATTGATGGATGAATAAACTACATCACTTATACCTACCCTGTCTGCCAGGCCTTTGGTCAGAAGTGTCATCATGTGATTTGTTAACCTTATATGCATCAATCTCTAAAAGCTTCCCCATTTCAACTGATTTCCAAATGAAATCTGCATATAAAACAGGAACCTGGTACTTCTGAATATTTTCTAGATCACGACAGCTCAGGACATCAGCAGTATCCACAAGAACATAAGTACTCTGAAAGACAGGTTACAACTAAGGTTGCTATGCACACATAACTATGACATTAATAAAAATACTGTTATTTGAAATTCATACTGATATAAGCCTTGAGTTCAAATGAAATGTTTAAAACCAGACAGCCCTTCTGGACTGTATTTTAATTGAAACATCTAATTTAGAAACACTTCATAGAACCATTAAGGTTGGAAAGGACCTTAAAGATCATCAAGTTCCAATCCCCCTGCCATGAGCAGGGAACCCTACTACTAGACCAGGTTGCACAAAACCTCATCCAACCTCACCTTAAAAACCTCCAGGGATGGGGTGTCAACAACCTTTCTGGGCAACCCATTCCAGTTCCTCATCATCCTTATAGTGAATAATTTCTTCCTAATATCTAACCTAAATCTCCCCTCTCTCAGTTTAAAACCATTACCCCTTGTCCTATCACTGCCCTCTCTGATGAAAAGCCCCTCCCCAGCTTTCCTGTAGCCCCTTTCAAGTACTGGAAGGTGCTCTAAGGTCTCCCTGGAGCCTTCTCTTCTCCAGGCTGAACAGCCCCAACTCTCCCAGCCTGTCTTCATAGCAGAGGTGCTCCAGGCCTTTGATCATCTTGTGGGCTGGACCCTCTCCAACAGGTCTATATCCTTCTTGTGCTGAGGGCACCAGAGCTGTACACAGTATTCCAGGTGGGTCTCACCAAAGCAGAGTAGAGGGGCAGAATCACCTCCCTAGCCCTGCTGGCCACACTTCTTTTCACAGAATCACAGAATCTCAGGGGTTGGAAGTGACCTCGAAAGATCATCCAGTCCAACCCCCCTTTCAGAGCAGGGTCACCCAGAGCACATCACACAGGAACTTGTCCAGGTGGGTTTTCAGTGTCTCCAGCAAAGGAGACTCCACAACCTCTCTGGGCAGCTTGTTCCAGGGCTCTGTCACTCTTACAGTAAAGAATTTTTTTCTGATGTTCACATGGAACCTCTTATGTTCCAGTTTGCACCCATTGCCCCTTGTCCTATCACTGGGCATCACTGACATAAGCCTGGCTCTGTCCTCCAGACACTCGCCCTTAACGTATTTGTAAACATTGATGAGGTCACCCCTCAGTCTCCTCTTCTCCAAGCTAAAGAGAACCAGCTCCCTCAGCCTTTCCTCATAAGGGAGATGTTCCACTCCCTTTATCATCTTTGTGGCTCTGTGCTGGATTCTTTCAAGCAGTTCCCTGTCCGTCTTGAACTGTGGGGCCTAGTACTGGACACGATATTCCAGATGCAGCCTCACCAAGGCTGAATAGAGGGGGAGGAGAACCTCTCTTGACCTAGTAACCACACCATTTCTAATACACCCCAGGATGCCATTGGCCTTCTTGCAGTTTAGGCTCCGCAGAAGGGCTCCACCAGCACGATCCCTCACTCTGGTGTTCCTCGCCTCAGTGGCTTCACCGAAGGACATATCCCAGCATCCTAGAGATCACACATTTTAGGTGCTGCAGTATCTTTCTCACTGTACTGAATTATTCAAAATACAGATTTCAATTAATATATATTTGTACTGCATTAACTCTTAGTTTATTTGCTATTGTTTTGCTATTTTTAATAGTTTTTTTAAAGCTAAGTTTATTGTTTCTATGAGGGAATTCCCCTGACTTTTTTCCCCAAAATCATATCTGGAGATCAGCAGTTTGATGGGATAAATGTGAGTCTTAATTATTGTCCACCCATTGCTTCTTTACAAGATCACAGCCACTGCAAAGAGATGTGTCAACATGTCTTGGAAGATCCTGAAATTACAGTGCAAAGAACTCTATCACACCTTTGAATTGCTCTTGCTAGACCTTGATGTGCATTGTCAGAGTCACCAGGAAACATCTGGCCTCTGAACAAGACAATAACGTACCTGCAATATTCCTTTTCTTAACACTTCCCTTTCTTTTTCCTTCAATGCCAACACCTTATGTTATGCACAATGTAAACTAGAGACTCTTGAGGGCACTGTACACAAGTTTTGCTGTTTGTAAAATGACAGTCATCTATGAGAGTTATATATAACAGTAGGATTTGAAGTAATTGACCCAATGTTATATTGGGAAATGTCATGCAAGATAGAGAAGGAGAAATTAACTCAATTCTCAACATTAAAAAAAATATATACAGAGACAACAAAAATTGAAATGCATTACCTTCTCCCCAAAGTGAATTAGAAGGAAGCACTCTAACACGACAGTATTTATGAGCCTGCTCTAATTACTAGCAATGGGCAATAGGAAATAAATGTCACTGTCAAGTGGCAGAAGTAACAAGTTATTAAGCCTTCACTATGAAGTTAGATTTATCCATGCTTCATGTTCAATATATATTCAAAATAAAATGCAGTATTAAAACAAAACCCAGCAGTATCACTGACCTCTAACTCTATGACTATCTTCTCCTCACTGAGTAATCAAACACTTGCACTAGCAAGAACATAACCAAAACCCAATTCAGTGATGCATCTCCTTATTCAGAGATTCCCCTCTTTGTTGAAGAGAGAAAAACAGCATGGCAATTTTATCCAGGAAAAACCCCTCTCTGGTTCTCTTGTGGAGGGAGAATATTACTCTTGATTTTTTATGTGACATTTCAGTACTACAGAGCCAGATGCATTAAGAATGTAAACTGAATATTTCAGTTTAAGTACTGAACAGAGACATAATCTCTACAGATCTTATTTCTCTCCATATGGCCAGATTAACACTCTACGACACTTGCACCACTTGGTATTTTCCTACTGAGATCTCAGAAATAAATCTAGAACTTACCTTGTGATTAAGCACAAAATTAATTACTCCACCATTTTCTTGTATGGATGCTTTCAGTCTGCTCCTCTCCTGAATGGTTAAGTATTTAACTTTAATAAAGAATACGCAGTTTGCAAAGATTGCCATTTCCCTCCTGCTAAAAGAGAAAATAATATTTTTTTTTTGCTGAGAAAACTTTCATTTCCACTATCTACTCAAGTAGTCTCTCACCAAATATATTCTTCACAACTCTAACAAGTTCCAAAACAAATGCCATTTTATTAGCATCAATAAATCATAATCAATTCCACTCAGAACATTTCTTAATCAAGTGGGGTTTTTTTCTGTTTGATTTGTTTTTGTTTTGTTTTTTGGTTGTTTTGTGTGTGGGTGGGTTTTTTTTGTTATGTGGAAAATTTAGTGTGGCCTAAAATTTCAATGAAGTCATGGCTTGAACTAACTGCCGAACTCTTGTCTTTATTCCTTGCTGCTAATACCCACCCACTCTTAGTAATGTGGAATTATCTTAAACTGGAACAACCTCTCTTCCAGTTCCCCCTTCATACCATACCATTATAAAATAACTCTCTTTTTCAATAATGTAAACTGCTTCTCTGTTTCCATTCACAAATTCGTAATGTGTAAATGTAAGAAAAAAACATCCCACAACATCTAAAAAGAAAATTGATTCAGATTAAATTCAAACCAGAAGAAAACGGCAACAACAAACCAACCAACCAACCCCCCCAAAAAACCTCAAACAATAGTAACAAAACCACCAAAACCAAGAGGCTAGTTTTAATCCACATGTTTTCTGATTGAATTAAACCTCTGGCCTATGACAAAGATTTACAAAAAGGAATAGTGTAGCAGTGGAAGCAGTGAAGAGGCAGGGGAGAGATGGAAGTAGGGGGACTGCTTCTCTTCTCAGCAATGTCAATCTAAATCGTCTGTTGTTTGTCACAAGGTATGCTAAGAGAAGAGAGGCTGGGAAAGTTTTATTTCAATAGGAGTAGAATTTATGACAACAAAAGATAATCACAGTGCCTGGTTTAAGTGATTAAAATGTATAACCAATGTATGTTTATTTTCCTGGAGGCCTATGAGTGTAGATTTATTTTAAAAACTGATTAGAATGCTGATTAATGAGAATGAGTAAATGAGAGCACTATACAGAGCACTGAGCTCTTCATAGTGTGTGAGTTTCTCAGTGTGATGTGGGCTTTCTAGGGTTTCAGAGCCCTTCCGTGGCAAATGAGTGTTAAGTGCAAGCCAGAGAGCCTTATGACTGGGTGAGCTCAGACAGAAGCCAAAACCAATGCCACATCAAGCTTTCCTGAAGTAGAGCACCCAGCTTACTTTTCTCTGAAAGGCATTCAGGTGGTACACCTCAACACTGTTTTGAGAACTTAATCAACACAAGGCTGCTCTTGACCACCGACAGATTTTGCTTAAAATTGCACCTCTGCTCCAAGCCAAACTGCTAATGCAGACACACTGTTAAATGCTACACTAACTGCCATGCCCATTTTTGTAAAACAAAACATTCAGGTCATATATTTTTTTTAACCTGTGATTCTTTGGATCTCAGTACACCATGTCCATATCTCATCCAGAGGGTTATTCACTGGCAAAGACTTTGTTTTTACTGTAACTATTTGTATGGAAAACCTACCTGATGATATAAATGTTTCATCAGGGACATAAGGCCAAATAATTCTGTAAGACACTGGACAAAGCTGTCATACTTGGCCTCTCCCAGTCCATTCTGGACTCACAGGAGGAGGCAGAACAAGAAATTGCTTGTTTGAAAGTAAATGTGAAAGGAAAGCAGTTTTTGTGTTAGCCAAAGATGTCTGGTGTTAAGTGCCCTCTATCTTAGGGAGACCATTTGGAGCAAAAATTAGCTTTCTCCAAGTCAATGACAGCTCCCACCTAGGCTGTAAATTTTGATTGAGCATCCATCCTCTTACTTCTATGAACAACACCTACATTAGAGACTGCAAAAAGGAGAGCAGACACCGTTTCAGTTACTTATGTTCATTTACCACTTCACATTTTTCTGCACTATGAATGACAAATTAAGGGTACATTTATTAGAACAGTTTCTTCACAAGGCTTAAAAGCAAAGAATTTAAATACCCTGTTGGTTCTTCTGGCTTAAAGACTAGTATTGGTCAAATTGCACCAAAGTTTTTCAAGGTCAGCAAAACCTTTAGATCAACCCTGCAGAAAGATTCCACTGTGGTGTGGAGAGAGAATAAACCAAAATACAGTAACAATGCAGAAGAAATGTTTCAATGGCTCTGACAACAGCACTTCACAATCTAAGATTATTGTTTGATTAATTTATTGTGGACCCAAGTCTAGAGCAGATTATTACAATAAGGCCTCGGATTATAACAAAATAAAACACACTGGCCTGAGGTAATTTTGGGGTGGGATTTAGATTACATTACCTATGCTACATTTAAGGAACATGTTTATTTTCTTATTCTATGGCCTACTGCCTTTTCAATGTATGCAAGTACAGTTGCTCTTCGGTGCAGTAAAAAAGGAATCATATAACCAGCTACCATGGAATAACTCCAATTATTTGCTAAAAAATAAGCAGTTAGTCCATGAGAGAGAGCAACATAATTCCTTTGAATTTGGAGTTTAATGAAAACCTGAGAAATCAACACTATAAGACACAATTTTATACATGCCTATACAATTTAATCTCAGGCAGGTAATCTATAGGAAAGGCCAAATCTACTACTACACTATGAACCTGATAGAACTGGTTACCCTGTAAAGGTAATATGTGCATTTAGGTCAGGCAGACAGCAGATCAAAGCGCACATCAGGTAACAGCCTCGTATTTTCTGGCTCTTGTTTTTGCTTTTTATTAACATTACTGTTTTTGACACAGAAGTACCCTCTGCACACACGAAATAAACAACTCTCCATGTTTTAACTGAGAGATTTTCATAGGATACTATGCTATCTGAGGTGAGAAAAGTGTTTTACAATGCAGCCTTGTTCCAACTAATTTCTGTGGGAAACTGTACCTTCAAGAAGCTCTAGTTTGTGGTATAAAATTTTATTTTAAACTGCTTTTACCAACTTTATTTTGAATCTTGTCATAAATAAGACAGATTAATTTGAGGCATATATAAGGGCAAATGTGCCACTGCCAAAGGCTTCCTTTAATAACCATTGTATAGATCTGGACACTGCCTCCCACTTCACTTGAGTTCTGTGTGCACTCATTCTCTCAATATATTCTTTAAAGCAGATTCTGCATACTGCAAAAGTATCACCAGAAGTTGTGTCCTGAGGAAATAATGAACTCTATTTGCACAGCCAAAACAAGAAGTTTATTAGAAAGCAATGAAATACAACCAATTGCAAGCATCAGCCCTGCCTGCACATTCATCTTTTATCTGGAAAACAAGAGAAGCAACCCAAATTGGTAGGCACATGTGGTACAAAACACTACAAAAGTATTTGATATTACATTTTCCTATGAAAATCAAGCTGCTAAGATCTGAGAAAAAAACATATTGCTAGAACTGCTCTGTAAATAAACTGTAAGTCAGCCAGTACAGTAAGCAGATAGGAATGCGGAAGCTTGAGGGATTGATTTCCTCTGAGTCTGAGAGGTATTAAATGACCCCTGATTCCACTCCTCTTCTATGAGGGAGACAAATATTTACACCCACCTGCTTCGGAAGCTGCCTTCCCTGAAAGATCTTCTCCCCCAACAGCATGAGGTGCAATTGGAAAGCCTGGGCGTTGCGGGTAGGAAGGGCTAGGACGCACTCCTGCCTTCCTGTGAAACGCCCAAAGGGACACACCAAAGGGTCACATAAATGAACCAAGCAAAGTGCTGCACAGTGAGGAGCTCTAACCCTCGCTGCACTGGGGAGGAGGAAATAGCTACTCTTAAAGCTCAATTGAACTTTGGAATACCTGACAGCAGGAAATGCAGCTAAAATCTGTTCAAAGTCTGTTCCCAGCAGTTTTTCTCTCCCTTGAGTGAAGATTTTATTCCCTTTGATTGTTGATGAATAATGCTACCACTGAACACTAGCCTCTCCTCCCCTATTTCCCTAGAGAACCAAACTTCTCAAGGAATTTTAGCAGTGTTTGGCTTTACTCTTTTCAAATGGTAAATTCCCAGAATTCAAAATCAGAAAACTATTGTATTTCAGCTGTGTGTGAAGAACTGACTCCTGATAAACAGTTTTATAACTGGAGTACCATGTTGTTGCAGCACCGGATAAGGAAGTTATGCAGAACAGGAACTGCTGACAACTATCACTAGTTTAATTCTTACAATTTTATGTTGGTGGACACCCATAAGCCCCCAATAGCCTCAGAGGCTACATGGATTATATTTTTAGCACAGAGGTGGAGCAAAAAATATTTTTTTTACTGCCCAACGACTGACAATGAATAATCTGTAGTACTGTAAGGCCTCCAGTGTGTAGATAAACTGAAAACAAACCTTTGCTGTGTCTTCCTACTAATGATGTCAAAGGGACTAAATGTGATGCTATGCTTTAAAAAAGCAGCCATACAAATAGTTTTATTTCCTAGCACGGTAGCTTCCCACTGTTAAAGCAGAATCCAGTCAGAGGAGAATAATGCAGACAATATATTAATAATGACAAAACAAAAGTGCTGGAAAGATGGTTGACAGTTTAGCAGAAAAGAGCCTTGTTGAACTACAAAAATACCAGAAATTAGAAGTAGCAGTAGGCAAGTGAGAGGGCTGCCCTGGGTTTATACAACCTAGAGCTCGGTTTTGTTTCTGCTGTCAACAGCTGCAAAGCCACGACACAGCCTGCAACCCGCCACAGGTTCCTGGGGAGTGACGCTGCCACTTAGTGCCGTTCACTGATTTCGCGCACCAAGTCTTGCCTAAAGCACAAAATGCCAGAAAGCCAGGAGATGCTTTTTACCCATTTACCTCTCCGCTCCTCCCTTACTGCGGACATTTAAGAACTACAGGGGTGCAAGCGGCCGCGATAAAAGCTGGGAAGAAGCGCAGAGCCTCACCCTGCAGAGCACCGCGCACCCGAGGCCTTGCGGGCAGCTCACTGCTCAGGAACCTCCTCACGCAGCGACGCCGCGGCAGCCGCCCGAGAGCAGCGCGG